AGTCATCCAAAACTAATTTGTTAACGCTTATCGGTGCCTATGCGGTTTAGTATAATACTGATGAAAGAACGCAAAAGTAAATAAACTGGTAAAAAAAATAAATCACAGTATTTAATGTGTGGACAGAAGTATTATATACAGCACTACAGTCGTTTTGTCACTAGATCCATACTACATCAACAAACAGTCAGCTGATTGTGACAACGATCACCAATGACTACAGACTACAGAGAGACAGAGAGTATAGACAGCGACGGGTAGGTGACATCTGGGTCTAGAGACAGCATTACGCATTATATCCACATTAAAGTCTTTTTTGATCTTTTTCACTATTTAACACGTTCACTGTGGTAGCAAAATTGGTTATTATTTCTCCGGTGCGGTACCAGTCTCAAGCTCAAGTGACTGGTACTAGAGCTCTTCATTTCAGTGTTTACCAGCTACCCGTGCCTGATAAGCATTTCTAGATTAATACATTTCAGACTTTCATAGTTATAACAATAACCAAAATTTTTTCGGCCAGTTAGAGTAAGGAGATAATAGTCTTTATTACTCCTGAACCGCTTGCGTATATTCAAAAATTATGCAGGATCAGATGTAACGCTTTATTTTTCGTACTCTTTTACAATAAGTAATTTAATTAATTATGTGATATCCCGAACTTCCCGTCTTTAAATTGACCTTGAAAAAGTTTGAAACACCCGCGAAAAATTGAAAAATTCCAAAGTTTGGCCTTGGCTGTGATCGTCTAACAAATAGGAACCTACGTTGTGCTTTTTTTTTGTTTTTGAAAAATGGCGGGAAGAAGTTCTTTCATACAAGTGAGCATATATTGCATGTGAGTTGAGAGCGCAAGAAATGATAGACAAAATTAGGGAGGTCGAAATCCTTCCATAGGAGGAAAAAGAAACGAAGAACGAAAGGGACTCAGCTTGCCCTTCTGGCGACTCCGCAGGGTCAAGGCGTCATCGGTCTTCATTCCCAAAAACCCCCTGGGGTTTTATCCACCGAAATATTACATTTCAAACACCTTAAGATATATGAAAGAAAACACTTGCGAATTGACAGACATACACTTATGAAAAACGAACAAACGGAAAATTCTATACATCTGTTTGGGATCAACGCAAATATTTGAATATCACAAATTTAATAAAACAAAGCAAAACTGAATCAAGTAGCTGGATGCAAATACACAAGTTATTACAGGCGTGTGGCGGCAGATCTTTTTTTTTGTTACGGCAGTTAACAGGAGCACAACAAAGGTACCCCTGGGGCGTTGTAGCATAAGCGGAGTTTGGGCTACCGGTCTGGAGCTGTTCTCCCCCCGACGATGGTGATTCTATCTATCGCAAAGCCTACCCCATACGCATATCTCCATTACGAACGTGCCCTGCGGAACTAGGCCATGACGGTCGTCCAACTCGCAAGAGATCTCGACTATTGGGCCAAGTCGAGAAATTTACAACATCGGCGGCCGCCCCTGAATCTATCCAAACCTGTAGACTTGTACAGGTGACACGATCAATCTCGCCAGCCCGACTAGGAACCGAACTTCGCTTCTGCCACGTTTTCTGTGTTATTTAACCTCAATTCCATTTTTAAATATTCAATCTCTTATAACTCTGATGTTAACAACAACTGAACAAGTGTTAAAGTTTCAAAGAGCAATAAACAACATTTAGATTCGCCATACAATCTTGTGAAATTTTAAACAACAAATAGTTTTTATGTGAGATTAAAGTTGGACATCAAATAATTTATATGATAGAAACATTCATCAACAAAGTATTTACAAAACAAAACTTAGCAAGGATTTATGAAACAAAATTATACAACAAACAAAATTACTGAGGTTAAAATTGTGAGATTAAGAAATATTGTATGAGGTGAAAATTTGCAGAGTTAACAAAATTTACATGAGATTAATTTTTGCCACACTTTATCAACCGTCCAAACAAAGAGTTTACGTTATGCCAAATTATATCATGATCTAAATGATGGGTTACTTCAAAAATAATTTCCTTTGAGAGTTCAAAATACCGCGAACTGGTTACCCCAACAAAACACATAATAAATAAATACAAAAATATCCAATCATCGCTCCGATGGAAAAAGCGTCTCGGTGATGTAAATGTTAAAATCGTTGCGAGGAAAAAGCGTCTCGGTGATGTAATCAATCTGTAGCGTTGTGATGCATGTCCCGATGAATTAATCATGATAACGATGATAACCACCTAAGGGAAGAAATTATCATAACCCCCGCGAGTTCGCAGTATAATGAACTTGTTTAACCGCCGTAAATGAACTATTAGCAATCTTGTGTGAAGAATTTAGAAGTGTTATAGTGTAACACTTACGTATATGCATCCAGAGACCTATTCGTAAGTAAACATAAGGTGTTTTTCCTGACTAAGTGAATTTCATGAAATCTTCTAGCAAATGGTTTATTTAAATAATCCTGATTGTTAAATTGTGTTTGCACTAGCTGACTGTTAAGAAAAACTAACTTGATTGGTGAATTTACAAACAATGAAACAAATTCACAGCACGTGTCCGCGTCGGCCGGAAGTCCGCATTTCTCCGATTAAAAGGGCGCAAGAATTAACCGCGCGGGTTGGGGACAACAAGAGTGACGCTGGTTACGATTGATTGTCGTTAAACAAAGGCTTCCTCCCATTTTATTAACTACCAAACCAACTAATTTAAACCTAGCGCTTACCACGTGTTTACACTCTCACAAGCACATTCATAATGAATCTACGCCATGCAGCTTCTCTACCAACCCTCTAACTGAAATCGCCTTAGCGCTACGTGCTGCCATCTAACTCAATGATCATGCATTAAAAACCGACACGTCTATTTGGTTGCCTATGTTTAACGATTCCCCATAGAAATAATATTATATGGAAGTAACTTAGAGAGAGACGCGCATTGTCAACACAGTGGGACAGAAATAAGGCTCTATGGGTGGCAAAACATTGACGCGAAACTGCAGAGCACTGTGTTACTGGAGGTTTCTTTCGAGCTGTCGCATGGTGTTTAAAGGTGTATTTTTGCAAATTTACGTTTTTTAGACTCAAGTTACCTTATTTAAATGTCTACAGTCTTCTTAAGTCGTATTTTATCGGAGTATTTGTTAAGCATCGTGAAATCGTGTTGTGCGTATAATTGCATAGAACGTGCAAAGACAGCAATCCTGTTTCATTTCATAGGTAATAATCACATACACAGACGAAGGATTTCGTAAATAATTTAAAAATTTTGTTAGATTCCCTAAACATTCCGAGTTACGAAAAAACTGATTATTGCTAAAACAAGAGGGAATTTTATATCTATTGATTATTGTTTTATTAGTTATTTGTACGTGGATTTAGAAAATAGATTTTAGTAGAAAATTCCACACAATTTAATATGTTTAATTTAATTAGGCACCCTGTCACTTTTATCGAAAGTTTAATTAATTTTATCCTAAAAATTTCAGAATTACCAATGAAGATACACTACCCACAAGATTAGTTAACTTGTAGAAGATTATTGTACTAACTGAATTCGTAATATATTGCAGATTCTGAATACACATCATTTTATTAAAAGACTATCTCCACCACTTAACATGATTTTTGTTGTTTCACATTACACATTATTTTAATGTAAACTGTAAAAATATAGTTTTCATTAACAGACGTTTGTTATAATTGATTGTTTGAACAAATTCGTAAGAAAACGTATTAAATCCCGTTCAAATGAAGCGTTTCTTGCCACCCAGCACGTGATACGTGGTCAGCCGTCCTTTCCCCACTGATGCATAACCGCTCTAGCTCCTTCTTTCTTATGCTGATTACACTCGCTTGCGTATGGAAACGTATACAAGGCTCCATCCACTCCTTTATTACATCAATGGGGCACTTCGCATCACAAACATACTTGTAAACGTGGAATTTGTTGCCCTTTATTTATTAGAATTTGTGCAAATGAAATAAGTTGTCATAGCACATCATCAAAATCCGTTTCTTTAGTAAGTATTGGCATTGTTTAAGTATATTAAGATACTTAAACAATGGTATTGGTAAGTATCTATATTAAATGTCAATTCGATGAGTTGTCCTGTTGACTATTTATATTCATTTTATAGTTATATATTCTGGGTTATGTGAATTGCGAGTTGATGTACTGGTATTCGGTGAGTTGGAGTAACTGGATATACAATATTCTCTCATCTGTGGTAGTTCTTTAGGACGGTTGGCTTAAAAAAAAATCTGTCAGATTTTATAAATTTTTCAGTTTGAAATGGCTTTTTATAATTTAGGTTAAAAAACTGTCACTTATGTGTCAGAAATATCAGTTATTTGTTAACAGATACTATTGTCAAATAGACAAGAATTGACAAATTAAATTTTCAATTCACATTATTTACGTCAAATTTCATTTCCCGTTTTTTTTTTGAAGCCAATCGGACCTGTGTTGCTGAAAAAAAGACGATCAACTAATAACCAGAGGCGTTTTTCTTTAGATCGCTTGTTAAATATCATGAGACAACCCAAATATTCTCGCAAAATAACTACGGTTTAACCAGGGTCTTAGTATGAACCTATGTGAACCGGTAATTACCATGCTTTGGCATCGGGGAAGTGATGCTCATTGCCGTCCGATTGCCAGCGCTATTGCAGTCATGGCTACGTTTTCTGTTGCAACGTCGGGAATTCCTAACAACAATGACTACTTTTTGTAGGTTTTCTTCAGTTACACGAGTTCTCCTAGATGTTAAAATTAAAAATGACTGTTCAACATCACAATTTTCGTGATGATTCTGATCAGATAAACCTCAAACGTAATTGAGTTTGAGACTGCACAGTCGGCCAGCCAAATTTATCGCCTAACGTCGCGCTGGCGTATTTAATTTTTGTCCGATCGATTCCCATCACTTCGGCTTTGCCTAACCGTGGTAATTACTACATACTAGTATTCAATGATGTATTTAGCAAATAAAAAAGAAGAGGTACACAGCACTCATATTATTAAAATCTCAAGAAAAATAATACACATATTTTATATTAAAAATAACATCAAGTCGTCTTAACAAAATATACTATCTAATTTAGAGGCAATTAGTAATAGTCAAAACAGTACACTTTCAATAACTATTAAAATGAGTTCATAAATCCATTCCATGGGATTGGAAATAAAACGATTCACTTCAGAAATCTCGAAAGGACGGAGAATTATCCAATAGGTACCCACTGACTTTTTCGATGTTCTAAATCAACGGCAGCTTTCACTTGTGCACAAACATGTGCTACATTTGCACCAGCCGCTACAACGGCTGTAACTAAATGTCTATATTCGGCCTCTAGTTTATGTCCATATTCAAACATCTCCTTTGCTGCTTTGCCCGACAATTTGTCTAAACTATACCGTACTGCATCTTTTATTTCTCGAATCTGCTTGGTGCTTTTAAATTTGATAAGTAGAACTACAGGATAGATACCATGACGATGTAGACGCTCCACGCTGCTAGCAGCCACATCCAACATACAATGTAAATGTGCTCGAGACACCTGTCGAACAGCTGCAACAGTTACACATTCCCAACAGCTTCCACGTCTACGATATTCCACCAAATGACCATCAGCTAATTCTCGATCTAGCTGGGCTTGAGGGCAACGGCGCGTTTCTGCAGAGGCACGTCCAAACTCATCGGGAAAATCGCTTACCTAAAGTTACAATGGATATATTTTATTAATTAACAACTTATAACTAAAATTTTTATTCATGAAGCTAAACCGCTAAATTTAAACTACATACAGGGTGAGTATTGCAATAACGGGACTCGGACCAACTTTCAGTGCAACAGAAAATCCATATCTCATAGTAACCTAGTAGTTAATTTTGACTTTCGCAGTAATTCTATTGTCAATTTTGAGATCGGAGAAGTTTCTAGAGTTTGCAATAAGATGAGGATTAAATACACGAACGATGAAAAAGTTGATATGACCTTAGTTTTTGGAAAATGTGGAAAAATGCTGTTGCAGCAGCAAATCTCCACAAAAGAAAATATCCCACTACGCGACGTCCATCCGGCCAAATTTCAGATGTTTAGAGAAAACTTAAGAGACAAAATTGGTCGAAAGAAACAAGAAATAGAGGACGCACTACTACTGGTGCAGAAAATGAAATTCGCGTAATTGAAGCTGCAGACAATGACCCGCATGTGAGCCAAAGACTTATCTTAACATGTCAAATGGGAATCTTCTGTCTCCATCTATTTAAGAGCTAATAAGTTTCACCTGCTACACGTAACATTAGTTCAAGATCTGAAACAACAAGACTTTCCCAGAATTCAATTTTGTAATTTTATGCAATATCAGCTACAGTTGGACAACCATTTTTTATTCAAAGTTTTGTTCAGTGATGAAGCAAAATTTCGCAACGAGGTTGTTAATCGGCACAACAGTCACTTTTACTGCCTAAATAATCCCACTGGATCAGAACAGCTTATTTTCAAAATGTTTATTCTGTAAACTTGAGATTACGTAAGTGGTTCATACTTTTTTGAAGGCAACTTAACAAGACACATATTATTAGAAAATGTTCCTCTCAACCTCCGACAAGAGTTGTGGTTTCAGCACGACAGGGCACTACCTCAGAGGCAGTGTGAATACATCCCCCCTCGTAGTCCCGGTTTAACACCTTTAGATTTCTTCCTCTTGGGGGTTAGTAAAAGAACAAATTTACAAAAGTCCGATTCGTAATTGTGACATTTAAAAAGGAATTATCCACTCAAAAACATTATCCTTTTCCTGTTCCTCTCAACCTCCGACAAGAGTTGTGATTTCAGCACGACAGGGCACTACCTCAGAGGCAGTGTGAATACATCCCCCCTCGTAGTCCCGGTTTAACACCTTTAGATTTCTTCCTCTTGGGGGTTAGTAAAAGAACAAATTTACAAAAGTCTGATTCGTAATTGTGACATTTAAAAAGGAATTATCCACTCAAAAACATTATCACACTCAGCTTCGCCTCGTGTGCTAAACTGTTTTTTCGTTGGATAAAATTCACTTTTATTCACTTATACCATAAATAGCTATTAAAGCCGCTGGCCCGTGACGGCTGAAGTGTCAAACTTTAGACAGGTTGATTGAGTTCATTAATGTCACGGTTTAATGACGTTTGGAGAAAATGTATTTTGTATTGAACTGAAAGTCTGTCAAGTTTTTTTTTGAAAAAAAAAGTCTTACGCATCTTCATAATAATTTTCGTCGCATTATTTTGGCTACAAACAGTTTGATCCATAAATATGGAATGCAAAAAATATTGTGAAAAACATTTAAACATGCACAATTTAAGACTTGTGACACTGTGTAGATCGGAAAGAAACTTTGCTACTCAAACGAAGACACACTGTATTCGGCTCATTATTAAAAAAAAAAAATTAAGATGATTAAAATAACTAGCTGACTAGTAATGTTACACCTACATACCAGGTGTAAAACCGTTTTTTGAGTATAGAAATTTTACATCTAAAAACAGAAATTTGTAAATATCGGCTCCCCTAATTATTTTAAAACAAAACATTTCATATGTACAAACATTATTGTAGAGAATTAAAAACTGTATCTAAATCCTTTTTTATTTTGTAACACCTTAAATAGTATTGAGATACCGTCGCGGGCAAAAAATTCTGGTCGTCAATGTAATTTTTTTTACACAGAATTAGATGGCAGACACTAAAGGTGTAATTCCTATGCGACGACTGAGACGACTAGAGCCGAGAGATCAGAGCCGTACGCTCGGATCCGCGCGACAAAAATCGCTTGCGTAACTTCCTAGCATACTACTGTAGTCGTCTCAGTCGTCGCATGATAATTATTTGGATTGTGGGAATCTCTAATTATTACCACTTGCCTCGTGTGCATTATGATGACCGATAGACTATTGTTGATCGCGACCAGAATTTTTTGCATGCGATCCCGACGGTAAAAAGAAACAAGTGATAATAACACAGACGGTGTAGGGATCAACATGGTTCGCGTGAAATTGAGGATTACGCACCAACCGTCATAATGAATCTTAACTATATAATTTCATTGATTTTTTTCAAGTTTTTTTTATATTACGGGTTTTTTAGTATTAACACTTGTTATTGACTTATTGCAATACCATAAGCTGTTACAAAAAGAATAAAGAATGATTTAGATACAGTTTTTTATTCTTGACAACTTTTGTATTTAACGTATTGCTCTAAAATAGAGGACCCAATATTTTCAAATTTTTGGTTTTACTTGTAAAATTCTTACGTTCAAAAAACGATTCTACATCCGTAACCCAGTTTTCCTTTTAAGCGTCTGTTCGTGTTACGCCTAAAGAAAAGTCTTTATCTGGGGTTCATCACAAACACTTAAAGGTAATATTATTTAAATTTTAAGCGTTATCTATCGAAAAAGCATGTGAACCTCCGCCAAGTTTTTTTTTTTTTTAAATATATATAACGTATATTTATCACGTCATAATATTCTTGTTAATTATCCTGATAAAGAAAGGACAGGCCTTATCTGAAGGGTACATTGTTTATGAAACAGCCATTAAAAATCAACTTACTTATACTACCTACAATGAATTTTAAACCTCAGAAAAACGTACATAAAATATGAAGCGTACGTAAATTAGTCTTGATAGCTACACACTTAAAAATTATTCATCACTCAGAAATATGTCAATATCGAATGTTCAATGATCAAAAATTCAAAGACTTCCAAATGTTTTGTACTCAACAATATAACTTACTAGTTTATCAACGACACATTCGGCTAATGGTCCCAAAACCAGAACAGGTCTGAATTCGGGAAAAGACAACCTTTCGACTCGTTGATAAGCTGGAGGTGGCGCGGGTTCTTCATGTAAAGACCCACCGTCAGAATACCAGCCTGGTCCAGCCAAATTGCAAAAACTAGCTAATTCTTTTGAGTGTCGCTGATGCTTTTTTCTCCTAAAGAAACTGCGCCTGGCAGTCGATGAACCGACAGAAGCCACTGAACGCCCTGGTTGATCTGGATCTGCACCTCGTCGTAAAAGAGCTTCCTCTTCCACTTTATATTTACTAGGAATGACACCACATTGTTGACGGCGTCCTTCTCCATCTAAACGCCAGGCACGCCATTGCCCTGGGACACCATTAAACATAGTATTGTCTACGTACAATACGTCGTCCTTGGAAAATGCCAGTTGAGGTGGTTCTGTCAACTCGTTCCCAGAACGATCAAAACCACATCGAACGTACAAACTATCACCTGGTTTATCCTTTATTTCATTGTATCCTAAAAATAGCATACATTCTCAATAAGAGTATTTCGATATACATACCTACTTAAAATAAAACATAAGAGTATAAGCAATAATGGGATGACGTCATTAAATTTTCTGATGGGGTCATTATTTTAACTCTGGTGTATGCAATGTTAATTAACAAAATAACTCAACTCATTCAGTAATGTTTTTGAAACGACAACGCAGACAGAGAATTATTCGCTGTACACTACCGCTGTTAGTTAACAAATAATTCGTCGAATTTTTACCCACGCCGATTTAATTCCCGTAAATCATAACATTATTGTTTAATCTGTTTTGCTATTGTCATTGCCTTATTTACACAAAAAACATGCCACAGTACTGGTTGTGCTTTAAAGACAAAGGAAGCAAAGAATTTCCAGATTTTTTATTCACAGACTTATCCTAACTACTTACTGTCCATGCGATAATGGGCTAAGACAGTGACTTTGTCAGCTGGTTTTGCCAGTTCATAAGCAGCCTCTTCAGCGGTGGCGTTACGAAGATCGCTTCCATTAAATTCCAATATCTGATCTCCAGTTCGTAGCCCAGCGTGATAAGCCAATGAATCTGGTTGAACCGAATGAATAAAGATACCAGCAGCGTTACCTCCTACAAGTGAAATGCCCAAATTTGAAGTCTTCAGGGTTTCAATGTATAGATAACGAGGTTCATCGTCACTTCTGATAAAAATACGTCACATTAAACGATGTATTTATTACAAATACACTTATTTTGTAATACCTTGAGCTATTACTCTGTCGTTGTAGTAGTGAAGTTTGACCTCTCATCAAAGAATTTGGTTGAGGCAGATTGGTTAGGCCTATTGGATGTGATTTGCGAATTTCTTTGGGAGAATTGCATGGTGTGGCCTCCCCATCTCCATCATCACCATTTGAACTTGAATCTGAACAAGAACCTGACCCTTCTAGTTCGTTGTATTCTAAAAATTAAGAGTAAACATCTCTATGTTTTTTCAATTATTTTTCACACAGATCGTCAAAAAGAATGAGTAGGTTGACTATTTTAAAATCTTTTCATGGTGGCACTTTGAGATTCTGCATACTACTACTACTGCATACTATCTTGCGATTTGCGAAGGCGATTTTTAAATGGAAATGTTAAATCAATTTTAACAAATAGTTATTTAAATAATAAGGAACTAAGTGACCCAATCCTCCAAAACTCATTCAAAATGTTAAGTGACCTTAACCACCATTTTTTCAAAATATTTTACCAAGTCCACACCTTTTGGTGGTCTTGCATAAATTTACTATGTCGTGTTCAAATTTTATATTTACTACGTTTTGTTGTCTATTTTAATAAATCCTTTCCTTTACAACTTTAGAGACATATCCAAGTATGTATATATTGGATGTGTATGTGTTAACAATGTTAAATCTATATGTCTATGTTACTTCACTATTACAAAAAACTTGTAAACGACTAATTATCTTTAAAACAAAGTACTTTTTGATAGGTTTGCGAACTGCATAGCACTGCCATATAAATTTAAATTGTTACACCACTAATTATTTTAATGTACTTACTATCTGGACTATATTGCACCAACATAGTGATGGAATTTCCACACTGTCTCAACACATTTGCTGCCAAATTGTAAGTGGCATTGCGCATGTTAATTCCACAAACTTCCAACAACTGATCTCCGATCTGAAGTCCAACTCTACTGGCCAAACTGTTGTCATTAACAGTGGAAACAAAAATACCTCCACTGTCTGGACAGTTTATCTGTATGCCCAGCGGTTCATTAGATTTATCTATATGAACACGTCTTAGTTCTCCTGGTAGAGGTTTATGCTGCCCGCCTGGCCACGAACAACATTCCTTGCTATTATTTCCTGGTTCACCAGGACTTAGCACCTCGACGTGAAATATTGGCATAGGACTCCCTCTTTCTGAACTGCGTTCAATACTACCTGTGCTAACTTTAGAAGTAACGCTAGGGTTCGATGGTACACGAAAACGAGGATCTCTTTTTTTTGGAAAAGTGCCACCTTCTAAAAGTTCCATATCTCTGTAATTCGACTGCAGAGGTGAACAAGCAATGGTATTAGCAACCTTTCTCGTAGCACCATCTACTGACGGACTATGTGTATGATGAAATGACGATGGTTCAAAACTGAAACTATCTCTATTATGGTCGTGCGGATGTGGATGAAAAGGGTAATGTGTGCGAGGTGCCATCCACAACTGACTATGTATGCGACTGTGGGATGATGGAATTCCGTTGTTTGGTTGTGATGATTCATTGTGATTACCAACGATACTATCTCGATCGTTATCAAAAACATATTTTCCAAGTTCTAGTTTATTTTTTTTAAAACACACGTGCGACTCTTTATCACCACAGCGATGGACAGGGTACTCAAGATTATTATCAGAATTCATGTTCACACTAAACCGATTAGTGGACCGAAGTTTATCGTAAGAGTCCGCCACAGTACTAAAATGTGATACATCTCCATCTATGCTCTTGAATACTGTATGCCGACCAGACGGAAATGGAGCCACTGACGATAGAGGCACAGGTGTAGAATTTCTGCAAAAAAGAGTCAAGCTGTACTTTTTATGGCAGATAAATTGAAATTCCTCATAAAACAAAAAATCAAAAGATAATGCATGCCTCCTAAATCTCAAATTAAGAAACAATAATAATCACTTTCGTACCGAGAATCGTTGTTCTTGTGTCAAGTTAGATTAGAGAACTGTATCAAGCAATGATGGTAACACAACGTGTAACCAATGGTATGATAGTGGAATCAAAACTATGATGTAACCAATACTTTTTAAATGACACGAACCAAAACAAGATTTTGCAAAGTACGTACGTTTTATGGCTTCATTATGACTAGTTGCAATAAACAAAACAGTTGTCTATTCGTACTGTTGAAAATAGTGATTGCATTAATTTTAAACTCGAAATTGTTTTAGGACGAGTCGTTTTTCAAGTTAATCTACTTTCGATACAAGCCGGATTCAGTTAATAAGGAAGTCACATGTGACGCCCATAATTTCAGCATACAACAGGAACTGTAGGCTTTAATGGATTTATGTTTCTTGCCACCCTTGAAGATTTCTTTTACAAACGTTTACAAATCGAAAAAAAAACACAATCTCATCTTCTAAATCAAAATATGGAGCCACTAACATGGCTAATTGTTGTGTAGATGATAAGGTTTCGTTAGCTTTGTGCAAAATTCTTGAATGAATTTTTATAACAGCAGTACAAACCAGAGAAAATCCAATAGTTAATAATTAATATTTATGTAGTCACATTATCTTAATGTAAGTGTATTTTTTACAATTAAGTAAACTTATTCAGTAGAAAACCTGTTTATGCTTTTTGCTTTTTAATCAATGGGCAGTTAGCTTAAGTTTTATTCTACTTTCTACAAGTACATCATCACTCCACTGCATACGTTAATTAACAAATAGTAAATCGGCTACAGCATTTGTAAGCAGGTGTATTATATGTATATTTGTAATGAAAGATAGCTATATGCATGATGCAGTTATTTGAACATGCAAATTCAAGCTGAATTGAAATTTGTACACATATTTTAATATTCATAGATATGAATTGTTCTACATATTTAAAACTAAATGATACAAATAAAACTAATAATTACCTATAATCCTCCACACCTCTTTCTTTTAACAGGCTAAGTGCCGGTCGTTCCTTCTTTTTCACCACAACAGTACTTCCATTTATAGGCTGAAGCAATGCCGCAGCTCTGGCTTTCGGCCATGTTCCTCCATTTTTTTCTTGTTCTTTCGACGAAATCTTCTTTGATTTTTTCGTTGTGTTCATGTTTGTATTGCCTCTATAGCTATCCAGAACTAAGTCTAACTCAGCTATTGCCTGTTCTGGATCTGCAATTTCTAGTGGGTTTGGTGAACTGTTGCGGTGGTATTTTTTCTTTTCGTTATGGCGTCTTCCTCGCATCAAGTCAATTTTCTCTTTGAACCAGGCACCCCCATTAGTTTTTTCATGTTGGACTGTTAAGTAATCATGTTCATCAGTTTGTGAACTTCTATTTTCACGCTTGTGACGACGAACGGGAATAAAAACATTAGGGCATTCTGGGTGACTTATTTTTAATGCCGTCACCGTTATTACGTCAATAGAATCGTCATTTAGAACTCGCATTGCTTCATCAATACTATCAATTTCATCCATAGATTTGTCATTTATCTGTAACAGAATTAGTAAAAAATAAATTAAATTGCACTGAAGTATTAGAATGCAACACCGAAATTTGTTTTTTTTTTAGCATCATAAATGTATATCACTTGGAATGTAATTTACTATTGAATTGATGCAGTTTCATCAAAAATTAATTTTCTCTGGAAATAATTGTTATGAACCACCAATTTGGTCTAACACTAAAATTTCGTCAACGCTAAAGGAAGGTTACGGCAATCAAAAGTTCCATACTTATAGAAACAAGATTTAAGCAACTATGATTTAAACATTTGGCAAAAATAAACTCTTAACTCAGTGTGGTAAGAGGACGCAAATTACTTGAAGATAATTCAGAAATAATATTAAAATTAACGTTGTTTTCGGGAATGGTGGATATTTCTTTTTTTTAACCATGATGGCATTGATCTTGTGTTAAATTTAAAATAAATCTAAATTCAAAACTAACAGCAATTGATGTTTTTTCTCCCAAAATGGATACAAATTTAATAAATCCAGTTGAAACTGGTAATAAATAATATAATATATCAACTATTAATTCAGTTCATATTGTACTAATAATTTGCAAAAAACGAAAATTAGTTGTTTTAAACAAAGAAATGAACGAAATACCTTTTAGTTTTCTGTTTTAGCTTGTTAGGCGTAAATATAATGCATAAGCATGGCAAGTATAATACATATAATTACAAGAGTGTTCATATTATGTATTTGTTTAACAATAAACTACTGTATTTTAAAAACAAGAACTTCACTGTGTGCCTCCTTAAACATGGTTGTATTTTTTATATCTCTCTATAAAGAATACATTTAAGCTGAATAATTTATCTTATTAAATATAGTGATTCTGTGGATCTTGTAACCAAAATTTTCACAATAATAGAAATAATCTACTGTTGAAGTATTTAGAATAAATACTACACATACCCTCAAGATTCTATCTCCTACTGAAAGACTTTTATCCTTTGATGCCAAACTGCCTTCACTGATTCTACTTATGTAAACTCCTGTATTAAGTGTAAGTCCGTGACAACCTGGCACTAATCTAGCGGTGTGTACCCACTTGTTCACCTGTGGAGGAGTATTTGGAGGACTTGTTGCTCTTCGTGTACGCCTACTGACAACAATTCTTGCAACTGGTAAATTAGCTCTGATTGCTTCTAAAACCATCCTTCTTGAAACGGCATTACAATCAACATTATTAACTTTTGAAATGCGATCGTTGAGTTTAAGTTTACCGTCAGCGGCAGAACCTTCCATTACACTAGCTACATACACTCCGCCATCGCCCGGAAAATACGGATCATCAATGCCCCCAGACAATTCTAATCCCAAATCTTCAAAGCCATCGCAACAAAGCTCAACTTCAAGTAACTCATAGGTTTCAGTTGTATTATTACTGTTAACTAAATTTTCATCGTTATGATTCACAAAATGTAATTCGAGCATTTCCTTAAGAGCTTTAACTTCTTTCAACAATTCATTGCGTTGCTTCTTAACAGCATCAGATTCTCGAAGAGATTCAGCCAGCTCAGAAACAGCGCGATCGCGTTCCTTACGCATATTATCACAAAGAGTTCGAATGCTTTCACGTTCTTGCACGATTTTATCGCGTTCAGAAAAGGCCCAATCCCGGCGTCCTTTTGATACTTCAGCTTCTTGTATAGCTTCTGAGAGTTCAGTTTGTGCTTTGTCCAAACTTTTTCTCAACGTTTCTAGCTCCTGATTAGCTTGGTCAAGATTATCTAATCTTTGCCTCTGACTCATTGATCTCACATCCGATTGCAACGCATCTTTTCTTCCAATATTTTCGCAGGGTCCGCCTAAACTATCCAAATGCCTAGATCTGGTTTGTTCCCTTCGCCTATTATCATCGTTAGCTGCCCCCAGTTCACCGAATTTCTCTCTCAACTCAGCGCACTCTTTCAACGCTTTGTCTCGCTCATACAAAGCGCTAGCAATTTCACGTCTCAGAGATTCTAACTGATAGCCAATGGCCTGCTTTTCGCCAACCAGCTCTTGATTATCAGCATCTAAGATTTTTCCCTTTTTCAGTGCCTGTGCAAGATCGTCACTAAGCTTTTCCATTTCTTTATGAACTTGGTCTCTAAAAACATTATTAAACACATTTAAGCTGACACATTAACTTGTAACTTACCTTTCACTCATAATAAGGGTATATTCAGCAAGAGTTGCATTCCTGTCGTCTGTCAGTCGTTTAACATCCTTATTTGCCTTTATTTTAATAGCAATAATTTGCTTTTCGGCTTCTTCATATTGCTGTTGCACTTTTTGATGAGCCTTATATAACTTTAAGACTTGTTGTTTTAAATTTGCTATCTCTCTTTGCTACAAAAACAAAAATTATTTCAGATGTGATACGCATTTGCAAATATTACGTCTTGTCTTTTTGTTTTAATACGTGTAGATTTCTTTTTACAACATGAAGTTTAAAACATGTTTAAAATGGAAAATTTGTATAAGGAAATATCTATTTTGTATTAGGCTCCGCCCCATAATTGCAAAATCCCTATTTCTTTGCCAAAATCATTTTAAGCATGTGTTAAGTTTCTTGTTATGAAAAGATGGCTATGTATATTAAGAAAAAACAGGCAAGAAATAAAAAAAATGTTTTTGAGTATCGTGTTGTTCAATGAATACTATGTACATATACTAAGACAAAATTAAAGCCATACCTTCCCTGATCTAAATAGTAATGAAGTTTTCATTCGTTGCCAGACCTAGGAGCAGAGACTAATTGCAAAATCCATATTCCCTTACAAAAATGTACCATTTTAAATGTGTTTTAAGTTTCTAAGAATAAAAAATATTATCAAATTGAGTTGGGGTGGGCGGGCGGTATTTATATTTTGCCTTTTTTGCTTAACGTACTTAGTACTCTTTGAACAACACGATACTCAAAACATGTTTTTAATTTCTTGTAAAGAAATAAGTATTTTGCAGTTATGTTCCGCTTCCTTGGTTCAAGGCGAATAAAAAAATCATCACAATTGCGACATGGGCGGGTGGGCGGGCTTACATTGTTTTTTTTTTTTTGTAAATACTTTGTGTACCTTAACGACATCACGAATCGCTCCTTAATTGTAAAAAAAGTATTTTCACTAGACAATTGTATCTTTTTCAGGTTTAGAAATTAAGTCAAATAATTCAGCACACTTCTACACACACAGTTGTTTTTAATCTAATAAAGGCTATCATGAAGCTCTGTAAAACCAACAAGTTTTTCCGATTTTGGAATGTTAGTTAGCAAATTGACCTCAGTTTATAAGTTACAAAAATTATAACTTTCATCGAATCTGACGTTTATCTAACTCCATAAACATGAGTTTTTTGTAATTTTGTGCCTAGAAATTATTAATGTACGTACTTTTTTAGGATTTTTACAGGGCATATAATAATTATTATTACTAGTCGTAAATATACTCTCTGTAGATGTGACTAAGAATGCGTTGCTAAATGATAACACTCGTACTGACATTAACAAAGATTTCATTGTTATAAAAGATACATTTTTTACACAATGGCTATTTAGAAAATGAATATTGGGAAACTAGGCAAAATTGAGACAAGACAATTGACTTCAGCCCACCACTTATGGCGGTTTTAGTAGGAACCTTTTTACAGTAAGCGTTTTCAGCAGATGTATAACTTAAAGTCGTATTTTTTTATTATTAGAATAACAGAATATTCCAAATTAGTATGTAAATTCTCAAATATTTAATCATTTTAATAAAGAACATTTTGTACTTATAGCCATACAGACTTATAACTTTTATATTAAAAAAGAAACATATAAAGTTATTTGTATCTGAAGAAACGAAGAAATTCAAATAAAATATCTTTGTATTTTTTTTAACTTACTGCCCATTTTTCGACAAGGAATATTGAATAATTGTATGATGACGTTTTTGAATAAAGTGACATCTTCAACTTTTTGTGGGAAAAGTAGTACATATATAGATTTTAATTACGTATTCTTTTTTAGTTTTCAAAAAAATTAAATATGGGCGGGCGCATTCTTCATTTTTGAGAAAATGAAGAATTCATCAATAAACAATCCTTGGATGACGTGATCAACATAGAAGTATTAGTCACAGCGCATTACCAATGCAAGAAAAAAAAAATTGTCGAAGGTTATTTCGACAGAACTTCCCTCGTCCTTGAACTTTAATCCCACAAATCCAACTCTTTAAAAACTATATAAAATTTGATTTTACGATTTCTGTTGTGAAATAACCTCTGTAAAGTAAAAACCAGCGGCAGCCATTTAACGAAATAAAATGTCCTTCAGCATCAGCACTAGGTAATAGCAATCTGAAGCTCAAGTGTTTGTTTATATTCGAAAGAATGTCACGTAGAAATTAGTTTGATTTGAAAGAGTTTGTCTTCTCAAAACAGAGGGCTGAAACTATTAATTAAACCACAATCCAACAAAATGTTTTGAATATTATAAAAATAAGGATTATTTTATCATTATTATATAGAGACGTGCGTATTCTTACATTTTCGAGAAACTGGGGTGACTTGTTCTTAATCTGATCAATAAAAAAATTGTTCTGAATTCATAAACATAGGTAATACACAATGCGAGAGAAAAAGAGAGAAAAAAAAAGAAACGTCAACTTTGGAATCGAACCCGGAACCTCCCATGATCGTGATGTCTTCCGCTAATGGTGAACTGTTATTATACAGTGCTTTATGGTTTTGAGAAAATTTGGACGGTTAGGGAAAAACCTCAAGTAGATTTGTACATCACACGTATATGAGTATATTGTTGTATAACAGTTAAATCAAATAAACTTAGAATCCTTTTAAATGACGTCATCAAATTGTTGGTGGGGACGAGTACCCAAATTTTGGTTATCGTTTAATCATCTACATGATATTTCTAATACCTATATGTACAATGTACATGCAAAATTTGATAACAATCGGTCCAGTAGTTTCGGAGATTACGTGTCCAATAAAAATCCACACAGACGCCACACAGACAGACAGACGGAAACGGGAGACTACTCACGCACCTTCATTCGTTCTTCAATCACCCAATGTATCCCTTCCATGGATTTCTTTAGCATTTTTTCTTTCTAAAAAGATCACTACATACACTAGTATTCAATTATTTCTAAACGAAAAATTACTGACAGAATGACTTGAGATTATAGAAACGTAATTTATAGGAAGCCTATTTGAAGTCTACAACTAGAGTTACTGTTTTTCCTTCTTGCATCCTCCAAGACGATGCGAATCGAGTTGTTCAACAAACAACCCTCAGAGACACACAGAGACATCAGTTAATAATCTTGAAGTGATTATCATCAAACAAAGCTAAGAACCATTCCCATTAAACCAACTTTCAATTAAAAAACAGCGCATCGAAATGGGTTCAAGCGTTTAGAAACTACGGTGCCACACACAAATCCTCACATAGATAAAGGCTTTAGAATTAAAAGTGGCTTAAGTGATAATAATCAAAATGAGATTTGCTTTGCAAAAAAAATTGAATGATTCAAAAAATTAGACAGTTGTGAAAATCAAATTCTATCTAAGCTATTAGCAAAAGCAAAATTGTTACAGGAAAAACTGTTACCTGTGAAATCTTAAAACATCTATGAAAAGGTATATTCAAGTTTTTGTCGATAGTTACAAAAGATCACAGTTTAAACTATTATGTGAAGGAAAAATTTTGGTCTGAATTGAAGTCAACTGTCAGATGTTTCATTTAAAATTATATTAACTTGACTTAATTTAAACAAAAACAAATCTATTAATATGTATTGTAATTTGATAACAAAAACCAAACAAGAAATCTAGGCTAATACAGATAAGGTAACAACTGTAGTAAGCTTTCTGAACTGTAAACACGCTTGGAGAATGTAGCAAAATACAATGTGAAATAATATGTAATAAACATAGTAGAGCCTCTAGAAGTTTTTAAATGATACATCTTGCTTTAAAACTCCTACTGTACAGCAGTGAATCCTCAATTAAGCTTTCAATAAGACCCATACCAATAATAATTAACAAACTAAATTCTACCTTCTGCGACCAATCTCTTAATGGCCTTCTTACTCTTCACCAGTATTTAATTCATTCATTTCATTTTTATTTTTGAATAATTCCAACTTACGGCAATGTTTCGCTCCTGTCCTAGAAGTTCACATTGTTTGACTAAGCGCGTATTTTCATCTTTGGTCAATTCCAATTTCGCAATACTTTGAGGATGTGAAAGATATAAAGGATCTCCATTTCCATTATCTGTGGCTAGTAGGACAACCTCCTGCTGTCTATGAACATCTGCAAAATCTTTTCGTAACCTTTGGTTTTCTTGTTCTAATCTCTGTTTTTCACTCAACAAGTCTGCATATTTGGACCGCAGAGTTGCAGAGTCTTGTGAAGAAACTTCTAACTGATTCATAGCAGCTCTATGTTGTTCTCTATAATAATCTAGATCCTACAAAATTCTTTATCAGGAATAGTTATCCTTTAAATTTAAACCATGTATACTTGCATTATGCACATGATCACAGCGTCTCCGGGAGTTACTGACTTCATTGTTAGACTTTTCGTATGGTTGTTTCAATGAATCATAGTCTCTTGATGCATTCATGGTATAACTTCTAGGCAGTGTACCTAAATTATTGTTACATAATGATAACAATTAAATACTATAAACTTAGCATAAACTTTTACTTACCACCACTTCCATTATTCTCATTAGTTGACGCCATGGTTATTTCTAAAGAATGTTGCAGTTTGTCACATTATTTTTACTATGGTTGTGTACACATTACTCAAATACTGCATGACTAACTAGACTTTTATATTAATTACAGGCATGATACATATAAAAATACATGCAACAAGTTATTTATTTGTTAACGAGTCGAATTAATGAACAGTTACGTTAAAAAAAAACAAATGTATTACCAGTCAAAACCTGTCACTTGTCACCAACAAAATGTTAAGATATTTCTTAAACCTAAAACCATTATTGATAAAAAACTAACACTACTGATAACTGAGCTACAACATTATTGAGACACAGAAGCGCAGTAAAGTTATTGAGTGTGAACTACTCAAACTCAACTGCTATTGTATTTAACGTATGATCTCTCTATCACCCATCACCACACTTTCGCCTCATTGCCAAATGTCAGCAAAGCAAAGAATGAGATGCCTGTCTGTCATCTTGTTGAAGAGAAACAGAAAACTGTACGAATGTGTTATTTCGAGGGGTTAGGATGTGGTTTGTGGGATTATATGTCTAAAACATGGATTTAGGTATTATATAAATGGATGGCTCGTATTGGTACTACAAAACTTGTCACCAAGTTGAGTATGCAACACACATTTCACGTTAAGGGCAAATGCATTCGTTAAGAGGCGGGAAACGTAAAATACAATCAATTACACTGTGCACGGTTTCACTATTTTAAGTGTTGCGGTTTCTTAGTTTCTCGTATTGTCCGAACAATATTAAAGACTGGTTAGCCAGAAAAATTTTTACAGGCTAGCCAGTTATTAACAGACATTTTCACGTTGAATACAGTGACTTGATAAATTGATGTTTGTGAGGAACAAATAACATTAATAGTTATTTACAGAGACTTTAATATGTATTGTACATATTAAAGTCTCTGGTTATTTATTATACAAGACGGTAAAGGGATATTTTAACTCGTGTACCTATACAGTGCATCTTTTTTAAAAGTGGCCATAGGGATTGCCGTCTTAAATTTTAGACCCCATGTTAACTTTTGTAAGAGCGAAAACCCAGAAATGATTTTTTCGGTGAAAATAGCCTTAGGGTTCTACTTTAATTTCCACTTCCACTTTTTGCAGTAAATTATTAATTTGTGCTTTAAAAAATTAAAATTATTTTGATTAAAAAATTTTAGTAGGTACACCATAGAAGGTTTTGACTTATCACTTTAATTTGTCATTTTTGACAGCATAATTTTAATTTAGCCATTGAATAGTTATTTTTGTACGACCATTGCTTTTTCGATCGTTTACCGTATAGGTTTCCATAGCAGTAAGTTCAGTTTACGGGTTGCTACGACTAACAACTAATAAGAGGCGAACGGTAAGTAAATTACTTATTGTTCAGCTGAACGGTAAGTAATCATGCATTCAAGATTTTTTTTATTTTAAATTCCATGCGTGTTCGATTTCGACATTTTCGCTATCAGAATCACTCATGATTGATATTTTAAGCAAATAAATCACTCACTAATAGTCGCGGAAAGAAAATTAACTCGAAATCAAGCCAGATCAAATCTAAATCGACAGCGGTCAAAATGGAAACTGATTTTTAAAATTGTTGTTTATATTAATCGAAACCATACTAACAAATTTTAAATTAAAAAACGACCGTGTTGATGTTTGATATAAATTCTTTCAATTTATGAATTTGATAAAAAGACGCAAATCTTTTGATGGTCGTACAAAAAATAGTATAAGCATCACGAACGTTAAGGGGGTTTACTGGTCTCAGACAAATTGGAGACGTCGCTTCGCTCCGTCCCCAAACTTTTGCCTTCGACCAGTAAACACCCCTTACCGTTCTTAATACTTAATATACTATTCCGGTGATCGTTTATTAATGATGCGATTAATGCATGATTTATGATCGAAAATCGTTCATCAATAAGGGCTATTAATGCATGATTTTAGGCAACCAGATATACAAGTCATTTTGTGAAATGTCATATTTCTGAATGTCAAAAATTTCCCAAATGAAGATTCAAAATAGGAAATTGCATAGAAATGGATTCTTTAACTCTTCCTGAAGTAGAAAACGCAAATGTGGGGTCACTAAATTTACTTCCAGAAAGAAACAAAATGCTTTACCAAAAAACCTACGATGAGTCTGTTGCTTGGTGCGCCGGAAAGCTGGTTGTAAGGTATTCGAAATTCGTATTACTTGCATCCTTCTCAGAAATTTCCCAAAAAGGCTCAATAGCACGCTTGTGGCCAAAGTATTCTATGCTTCGATCCACTTTATGCAACCGTCATGATTTGGACATATCCAACTAATGTTTATTCATAAAATTTTTCACTTGTATGTTTGGTTGCAGAACTCATATTTTGAATTTTCAGTAATTTTTTAAAAATTACGATCACCGGAAAAGTATTGTAACTAACTCGACTGTTAATTGGCGATTAATAATATCGACCATTAACGCGCTCGTTCCTCGCGCGTTAAAATATCTCGATTATTAATCGCCTTTATTAACAAACTTGTTCGTTAAAAATAGATAATTTTTCCAATTTCTACTAATAAAATGCTCATTTTGTATGTCAAATTTCACTATTAAAACAATAGTTTAATCGAAAGGATGAATAAAATGTGTTTCGTACATATGTTTATGGTTGCGAAAGATAGGCACGCAGCAATTCCTGTCCACCCCCTTATTGCCTACCCTTAACTACCACCCGCCGATAATCCCCACCCACACAAGAAAGCCGCCCTCTGGGAGAAGAAAATTTAAAAACATTTTGTAACGAATTTGGATGGTTGTTCGTTAACCGTCGAAGTGAGAACCTCTCGTGGCGGTCCGTTGTTATTGTTGTTTGTTGTTTCATTTTCGTTGTTGCAAGAGGCCCCAGCGCCTTTTCTTCGTATCTACAAAAGGCCCAGGTGCCTTCAATCAAGAGAAATCGTCGAGGAAGATCGTTGCAATCAGGGTGAGTCCGTTGTCCATCTTCCTTATATTGTTGTTTGCTTATATGACTTGCGTCGTAAACATATGGTCCTTCGAGCCGGATTGTTTAATTAGCTCATGGTTTACAGTGTTTTGTTTCGTGGTACGCTGCAAAAGCTGTTCATATATTTCGCGTGCACACTTTTGCGCTCATTTCTTTGTGCAGTAGAATTGGTTTTATAGGTAGGGTTGCTTGACCTTGAACGAGGGTGCTAACGGAAACGGAACACGTGTTCGTAAAATTTGCTTTGTGTTGAAAAAGATCCGTAAAATTTGTAATGGCTGTAAAACTGAAGGAGGCTAGAGCAATGCGAGCCCTTGCGTATAATCAAATGGTAGAGACCCACGACGTAGCCTCTTCCGCGTTAGTACAAACTACGCTCAAGGGTTTATTTTCATTCCGGTACCAACGCGTTGAGGAAGTTGTACAGGATTTTCGAAAGTATCACGCGGCAGTTATTTCTTGCCTATCTAGCTTAACCGAACCGGATTTTGAAAGCGAAGATGCGGTGAGGAAAGAATTTGATCGATTGTATTGTGAAACCGGAGTCGCATATGGCGAACTTTTTCCCGCGTCCTCGGCATTGAATACTCCCACTCCTAGTGATCATAGTCAAACGAGACAAAATAATATTCGTTTACCAAAAATCTCGTTGCGAAACTTCGACGGCGATTTTGTGAAATGGTACCCGTTCATTCAAACGTTTAATACGGCAATTCACAATAACGAATCCTTACCCCCCGTTGACAAATTTCAGTATTTGCTTAGTTGCCTGTCCGGTGAAGCATTAAATCTGATAAAGTCGTTAACATTATCAGAGGATAATTATCCGATAGCATATAAAATTCTAACCGATCGGTATGACGACAAACGCAAATTGGCAGCTCAATTTTTTCACGGGATTATGTCCATCCCAAAGCTAACAAGGGAGTCTGCAAAAGCACTTCGCTCAGTACTCGACAGTTTCAAAGAGCATCGCGGGGCTTTGGAAGCTTTAAAAATTGCTGACAATTTAGAAGATTTTTTGTGGTTTAGCATTCTGTTAGATAAGGTAGATGTGAATACTAGGAAGGCTTTTGAGGCCGAATGTCGGATTCAAAAGATTGATTTTCCAACTCGCGAGGATCTAGAAAACTTTATTGAATCGCATTGTAAAGTACTAGATTGTTGTCCGGATCCCACAGGAGTTGCTCGCCTGAAATCGTTTAATTTAAGTGGCCCTAAAAGTCACAACAAGGCGTCATTTGTTGTTACGTCTAACTCAGTAAAAAAATGTCCGCTTTGCACCGAAACTCACAACGTCGTAAAGTGTCCAACATTTGTACAAGCGTCGCCCTTTGATCGATATTCATTGATAAAACCTACTAGGACTTGTTTTAATTGCCTTAAAGAAGAACACGCGGTGAGTAAATGCCCATCAAAGGGGTGCTGCCGTGATTGTGGTGGACGACACCATACGTTATTGCATTTTAAATCTCGTAAAACCTCGCATGCGCCATCGGAACCTGATACCACGGAGGCAGATACAAACAGAACTCCGTCAGAGTCTCTCACTTCTTGCATTGTTCATTCACTTGTCAGTCCCTTGAGTTACAAAAAAAATATCTTGTTGGCGACCATAGTGTTGGAAATTCGCGATAGATGGGGAAATTTCCAAACTATGCGCGCTTTGTTGGATCCCGGTAGCCAGGCGTCTTTTATTGAGAGTGCCAGTCTCAATAAATTGGGTCTACTCAAAACCAGATCGACAGTATCGATTTCTGGAGTAGGCCAAATTATAACCAATGCATCGTACATTACATCTACGCAGATACGGCCGCGTAAATCTCGGCGGCCGACTCTAGATTTAGAATTCCATGTACTTCCACGTATTTGCGGCAAGCTCCCGGCATCACCAATAGACCCATCACAATCTCAGTTCTCTCGGGAGCTGGATCTCGCGGATCCCAGCTGGTACAAACCGGGTTCCATTGATGTGTTGTTGGGGGCAGACGTATATTCGGCGATTGTCTGCAACCACATGGTGGACCATACCGCAACACCCGCCATGGTTAAAACTATATTTGGGTGGGCTTTGCTGGGTCCGATTCAATCCACGTCGTTACCATCTATGCAGGCATTACATATATCGCTCCAGCCCTCATTGAACGACGAAGTACAAAAATTTTGGTCCGTCGAAGAAGTCCCATTCAGGACAATTGTTGCACCATCTGACTCACAAGCTGAGGCAATCTTTAGACAGAGTATTTTTCGAGACCCGGGTGGTAGATTTGGCGTCGCGCTCCCATTTAAAACCGACGTAGTACCTAGTTTTGTAGACTCTAAAGCTATAGCAGATAGACGACTTCTTGCTCTTGAACGTCGTTTAAGTAAACAACCCGACATTCGAGCACTGTATTTGGACTTCATGCGTGATTATTTGACGTCCAATCACATGTCTTTACTCACGGACGAATTCCCTGAGGGTGATTCGTTTTATATCCCTCATCATGGGATAATCAAACCCGAAGGGAATCTGAATAAGATTCGCGTAGTGTTCGACGCCAGTTGCAAGGCGTCTAATAATATTTCCTTAAACGACACAATTCTCATTGGTCCCAAACTGCAGGCAGACATTGCCCAATTATTGTTAGTTTTTCGAATGAAACCAGTTGCCTTTACCTGCGACATTCGTCAGATGTACAGACAAATCTTGATTGCTCCCGAACATCGACGTTTTCAATTAATCCGTTTTCGATTCGACGCGTCGGACCCAATCCAATCGTACCAGTTAAACACCGTTACGTATGGAGTTGCTTCTGCCCCTTTTTTGGCTATCCGGACCCTGCTGCACTTGGCAGACCTGGGCCACTTACAGTTCCCTTTGGCTTCCAAGGCATTGAGAGAAAATCTTTACGTCGACGATCTTGTCTGTTGTTCTGAGTCACTAGAAGAGGCAACGGAATTAAAGTCACAGTTAATTCAGTTATTGTCTTCGGCGTGTTTCGAGCTGAGAAAGTGGGCTAGCAATTGTGTGGAATTGTTGGAGGATATTCCCGAGGGCCACAAGCAGCTACAACCTTCCAATTTTGATAAGGACTTGCGAGTCGCCTTAAAGGTACTAGGGTTACAATGGGATGCTGCATGTGATAACTTTTCATTCTCCGTAAAACCGAATGATTTACCTTGCACAAAAAGGAACATTCTGTCGGAAATTGCTCGGATCTATGATCCTCTCGGATTCTTATGTCCTGTCTCGTTTTTGGCAAAATATATTATACAGTTGCTCTGGAAGGCCGGTGTTGACTGGGATCAAGAGGTTCCGATACCGATTAGTCAATTGTGGAATAATCTAAAAGAGCAACTTCCCACTCTATCATCTGTAAAGATACCACGCCACGTACCACTCGTTGTCACATCGGACTGTCAGTTACATGGGTTTTGTGACGCATCGGAAAGAGGATACGGTTGTGTAATTTACCTGAGAACAATTACACAGGGCATACCAACAATTCGGTTGTTGATTGCGAAATCCAAAGTCGCGCCTTTGAAATGTGTCTCCATTCCTAGGCTGGAGTTGTGTGGAGCAGTACTGCTGGCCAAATTGATTGATTTTGTTAAAAAGGCACTGGAAAGCACAGTGAATTTCAGTCGCATATTTGCCTGGACGGATTCGTCTATCGTGTTGTCGTGGATCCGTTCTTCACCTAGTCGTTGGAAGGTGTTTGTAGCCAATAGAGTTTCTTACATTCACGATCGAGTACTACCTAGTTGGTGGAGGCACGTACCTACTTCCGATAACCCCGCTGACGTAACATCACGCGGGCTCTTGCCGGAGGATTTTGTCTCAAGCTCCTTATGGTGGGCGGGCCCGTCATTCTTGAAACTTCGCGAACAGTATTGGCCTCAAGAATCACCTGTTGGGTCAGTCGACACAGACTTAGAAATTCGCAAGATCGAGCTATTTGTTGCTCAAACCAAAGAGCCTACTATTGGTGAAACGTTGGTCTGTCGGTTTTCCTCGCTTAGGAAAATACAAAGAATTGTTGCTTATTGCCGGAGAGCGGTGCGAAAGGAGAAAGGTTCTTCATTGTCGCTGACGGCGGCAGAACTCTTTGAGTCACTTTTGTACCTCATAAGCGAGGTTCAAAAAACTGTCTTTGCCCAAGAATTGTCAAGGCTTCAAAGAAGAGAGCCCTGTTCTAAAAGATTGTTAAATTTGTCACCTTTTGTGGACGAGAAGGGAATTTTACGCGTAGGTGGGCGGCTTCGTCATTCAACTTTGCCGTCGGCTTCTAAATTTCCGGCCTTACTTCCGAGCAAACATCACCTTACAGATTTGTTGATTCGTCAAATTCATGAAGATAATTTTCATTGTGGCATAAATACAACCATGTACTTATCTCGTCAAATTGTATGGATTCTGTCCCCTCGGCGCACAGTTCGACGTGTGCTGTCCTCTTGCGTTCGGTGTTTTAAAGCTCACCCTTTATCTGCACAGCCAAAAATGGGCGATCTACCCGCCATGCGAGTATCCGAGGCAAAACCCTTTAGTTGCGTTGGTGTAGATTACGGTGGACCCTTTTTAGTCTCGGTTGCTAGGATTAGAGGGGCAACTGTGATAAAGGCGTATTTGTGCTTATTCATCTGCTTCGCCACCAAGGCGGTACACTTGGAAGTGGCATCTAGTTTGTCCACGGATGCATTTATCGCGGCACTTCGTCGTTTTGTTAGTCGCCGTGGTCGATGTACACACATATTTAGTGATTGTGGGACCAATTTTTCCGGGGCAAATCGCGAGTTTGTAAAGACGATGAGAACAGCGGCCGAATCACAGTTGATTCAATGGACTTTTAATCCCCCCGCGGCACCTCACTTTGGAGGCATTTGGGAGAGTGGGATTAAGTCGGTTAAGACCCATCTATCTAGAGTTGTTGGCACCCAGATCATGTCTCTAGAAGAGTTCAACACATTGATAATCCAAATTGAGGCAATGCTCAACTCGCGTCCTCTCTGTAATATGAGCTCTGACCCAAACGATTTGGCTCCCTTAACCCCGGGTCATTTTCTTACCATGGAGCCACTCACATCGCCTCCAAACCCCGACCTATCTCATTTGAAAATTTCAAGGTTGTCTCGATGGCAACTAGTGCAGCATATGCAACAAGTATTTTGGCGTAGGTGGAAAAACGAGTACCTTCATAGCTTGTATCAGCGCGGCAAATGGGCAGTCTCTAAGCACGTAGACAATGTCGAAATAGGTACGGTAGTCCTCATCAAGGACGATAATACGCCTCCCTTGCAATGGAGGATGGGTCGCATCGTGGAGTTATTCCCTGGAACTGACTCTATCGTTCGCGTTGCCACGGTTAAAACCAGTCACGGGACGATGAAACGGCCCCTTGTCAAATTGTGTCCGTTGCCCAACCAATAAAACCAATGTCGAATCTTTAAAACCTGTTGTATATATATTAGTTGTAGTTGTTCTTTTTTTTTTTGTCTTTTTCTTCCTTTCTGCTTAGTTAATTTTAGTATTTGTAGCTCATTGCAAGCGTAACTTGTAAATAAAATACTGGATCCGTATTTTGGTGGGCGGTATGTTTCGTACATATGTTTATGGTTGCGAAAGATAGGCACGCAGCAATTCCTGTCCACCCCCTTATTGCCTACCCTTAACTACCACCCGCCGATAATCCCCACCCACACAAGAAAGCCGCCCTCTGGGAGAAGAAAATTTAAAAACATTTTGTAACGAATTTGGATGGTTGTTCGTTAACCGTCGAAGTGAGAACCTCTCGTGGCGGTCCGTTGTTATTGTTGTTTGTTGTTTCATTTTCGTTGTTGCAAGAGGCCCCAGCGCCTTTTCTTCGTATCTACAAAAGGCCCAGGTGCCTTCAATCAAGAGAAATCGTCGAGGAAGATCGTTGCAATCAGGGTGAGTCCGTTGTCCATCTTCCTTATATTGTTGTTTGCTTATATGACTTGCGTCGTAAACAAAATGTTTATAGCAACCCTTTATTCACACTGTCATTGACAACACGAATAAAGTAAAAAAATTAAAAAATCGCACTACCACTGAAATTTTCGTTGCTATGGATGTGTGGATATTCAACTAAAATTTGCCATGCTTGATAGTCCACCTCCTGTGAAACAATCCTAGTGAAAGTTCAGGAGCATCGTTTGAATTTGACCGTGACGAAACTACAGGCAGCTTAGGCAATTTACCTTCTTCAAATGTTCATCATATTAGTAATAGTACAATTAATACATATTTATGTATGTATATGGATTACCCAAATAATACATTTTTTGAAAAAAATTTGCGAAATTGGAAAAAATCTTGTATGAGACACGTGAACTCAAAAACATTATCACGCTCAGCTTCGCGTCGTGTACTAAACTGTTTTTTCGTTGCATAAAATTCACTTTTATTCACTTATACCATAAATAGCCTATTATTGCAGCTTTTAGAAAAGAAACAGAATGATCGATTTCAAACTTAAATGAAGGAAATTGTTCAGTCTACCTGAACAGGGGTTTGGGCGTAGCCAATTTGTCCACCCTACTCCCACCCGTTTTAGGGTAGTTTACCTAATTTTTATTATTTCATGCTCTCGGGGAGTCGTCGAGAAGTATCGAGAGGGTTAAAACGTGCCGACCCGAGAGACCGGCATTTTACAATTTTTGTGCGATTAAATAAACCGTGTAACTAAAAGGTGATTTTTATTTCGCGCAAAACATTTTGGTCCTTCGAGCAGGATTTCTCGCGGAATTAGTGGTACTGTTCTCGCCTGTATCGTCGATAAAAGCTTCACGTCCAAGACACTCTTGAGCATCGTGGCATCCAACGACGACAGCATCCCCAGAACTTCTGCAACAGCTTCACGTCCAAGGCAATCTTGAGCATCGTGACATCCAACGACGACATCCACAAATCGTACACGACTTCGGTAACAGCTTCACGTCCAAGGCAATCTTGAGCATCGTGACATCCGAAGACGACAACATCGCCAGACTGTAGAGAACTTCTTCAGCAGCTTCACGTCCAGGGCAATCCTGAGCATCGTGACATCTGACGACAACCAGTTTAAATATTAAGCGGAGCGTAGACGACTTCTTCAGCAGCTTCACGTCCAAGGCAATCTTGAGCATCGTGACATCTGACGACGACACATCGCCAGACTGTAGAGGACTTCTTCAGCAGCTTCAAGTCCAAGACGACTTCGCCAGCAGCTTCACGTCCAAGGCAATCTTGAGCATCGTGACATCTGACGACAACAGCATCGCCAGACCGTAGACGACTTCTTCGGCAGCTTCACGTCCAAGGCAATCTTGAGCATCGTGACATCTGACGACAACAACATCGCCAGACCGTAGACGACTTCTTCGGCAGCTTCACGTCCAGGGCAATCCTGAGCATCGTGACATCTGACGACAACCAGTAAGTGCAGTTCATTCCTTTTTTTCATTAGTCCTGTATTTTGTATCAGGGTCAAGTAGATTATCGTTGGATCATTAGTGAACAATGACTACTGAACAACTTTCTGGTTTAAATATTAAGCGGAGAACGCTAAAACGCAAATTATCTATGGCTCAAAACGTAATAAACGATTTAAAGTCATCTAAAGAAAGTACAGCTTGTTTGTCAATAGTACAAGTATGTTTGACTATAACCAGGTCAATTTATGACGAATTTTTCGACATTCAAAGTCAAATTGAGGAACTGGAAATTATTTTAAAACAAACATCTACGGCAGATCAGCGTATCACTTTTGACAAGGAATTTTATATCGTTGTGTGCGAATTAGAAGCATTGAAAGCCAAATATTCAGCCAAATCTGCAAAAAAATATGATATTCCTATCGTTCAAAATAGCGCTGTTAATGTAAAACTGCCAGAATTAACATTTAGAGTAACAGCAAAATCAACAACAACAAATTTAAATACCAATTCTAACAGATCGGTAACGTGTCCATATTGTTCCGATCCTCATAATTTATTTTGTTGCGCAAAATTCATTAACCTAATGGTTACAGATAGGTTAAAGATCGTGAGCTCCAAAAAACTATGTTCTAATTGTTTTCAGAACAGTCATAAAGTTACGGAATGTAAATCATCGTATGTCTGTAAAATTTGTAAAGGACATCACAATACGTTGTTGCATGTAGACAATCCCGAGCCGAACGAAATACCAAGTACTAGTACTGACAATAATCAAGTCGAATCAGATCAATCCGTTGTTCTTAAGGGAAATTCTCAACAAGTTTATTTTAGTAAAGTACTTCCAACAGCCCAAGTACAAATTTATGGTAAATTTGGAAATAAACATCAAGTGCGGCCACTGTTAGATAGTGGCTCCGAATTAAATTTTATTTCAGAGCGAAAATTATTAAATCTTAAATCACAACCGAACGTTTTGTCAATCGCTGGTGTCAACCGTTGTAATACTAGTGCCTCACAATTAGCAAGTATTAAAATTAATTCTAATTACCGACATTATGATTTAAACCTTTCATGTGTTATTTTGCCACAAATCTCGGAATTTTTACCATCCAGGTCATTTTCAATCGCTAATTTAGAATTTCCGCACCACAACAAATCACCAGATCCTGCATTTCATGTCAAAGGGACGATAGATTTATTGTTAGGTGCTCAAGCCTTCTTCGAAATTTTACAGCCTAATCGGAGATGTTTGAATAAGGATTTTATTCTACAGGAAACTAAATTCGGTTGGGTAGTGGTTAATGCTCATGGAGATAATCCGGGGGTTGTAAAACAGGGTTCTTCTTATTATGTCCAACCCGTCCTAGAACAGATGGTTGGAAAGTTTTGGCAATTAAATAAATTTAAAACTTCCGCAAAACCTCAATCGGCCGACGAAATCCTGTGCGAAAAGAAATTTATGGAGGGTCATAAACGCTTAGAAATGGGAAGGTATTCGGTACCATTTCCGTTCAAGGCGGAAAACCCAAACTTAGGTACATCTCGGGATGGTGCCATAAAACGTTTTAAATCTTTAGAATGTAAATTCCGAAAGGATGAGAATTTTAAGTTATCCTTTTCGGCAGTAATTACAAAGTATTTACAACAAGGTCATGCGGTACAAGTTCCTGAAAACGAAATTGATAATCCACGTAATTATTTACCACACCACGGTGTTCTTAAAGAAAGTACCACAACACAATTACGTATTGTGTTTAACGCATCATTTAGATCATCTAATCATAAAAGCTTAAATGACGAGTTATTAGTTGGTCCAAAAATCCACTCGTTTTTATATCCAATTTTATTACGTGAAAATGTCACACATTCTGATGATCTTAAGGTACTAACAAATATTATTTTCGAAATTGAAGAACGACGTCAGGCCGTCTATTCAAAGGCAGTAGTACACAATAAAGGTCAATCACCATCAGATTTATTATTAAGGTACTCATCATTTTCAAAATTAATTAAGGTAGTAGCCTTTTCTTTACGATTTTTGTACCATATTATAAAATTAATTGTACAGCAGACACACTTGCGTCAGTTACATGCTGGTCCGCAAGCGACTTTAGCAGTTATTAGAGAAATATATTGGCCTATCGGCAGACGTGACATAATTAGAAAAATTCTCCACGAATGTGTACTTTCCAGACGTTCGAAACCGATTCCCTACGAAGAAATAATGGGAAATTTACTCGAAGGTAGAGTAAATCTAGTACGACCATTTCTTAATTGTGGGGTCGATTACGCCGGCCCAATTCTAATCCGAGAAGGGAGGGGTCGTGGAAAAAAGTCTTATATTTGTTTGTTTGTTTGTTTTGCCACCAAGGCAATTCACCTAAAATTAGTCACCGACTGTAATTCGTCAGCCTTTATTGGAGCCTTCAAAAAATTTATGTCTCGAAGAGAGAAACCTTCAAATATTTACTACGATAACGCATTAAATGTTAAGGGAGCCAATCGCGAATTACGAGTCATACATTTCGGTGTTATTAAATCTGATGCGTTTTATCCCACCTCGCTCACCACACGTTGGTGGAATTTGGGAAGCAGGCATTAAGTCCATGAAATACCATCTAAAACGAGTTATAGGGCAGTCATTGTTCACATGTGAGGAAATGTATACCTATTTGACATTGATCGAGGCGTGTCTTAACTCACGACCTATAACTCCATTATCCTCAAATCCCGACGATCTATCCGCACTTACCCCTGGCCACTTTCTGATCGGTACTGCACTTACGTCACCTGCCGAACCTGATGTAAGCGACATCAACATTCACCGACTGGGTCAATGGGAAAAGATCCAGCAGTTACGACAACATTTCTGGAAAAGGTGGTCCAGGGAGTATTTGGTCGAGCTTCAACAACGATCGAAGTGGGCAACTTCCGTCCGATCGGCCACTGTGGGCGACATCGTCATCGTGCACGAGGATAACGTGCCCCCGT